AAAATATTGATTTGCTACAATTGCAAGGCAATGTATTACCTTGTATGTGGCATTTTGTAACAGTGCCAGTTTCCGCAGATTAAAAACAGTTGAGGGTGGCATAAACAAATAGTAACACCTTGAACTGACCCAGTAGCAATTGAGCAATGCGTGCAAATCTCTGAGCAGAGGTGTTACAGCCTTAAGGGGTTTCACTCCTGTTAGCAATCGTGCTGCAGCACTCTGTACTAACTGAGGCCTGCAAATCAAGTGTGTTGGAAGGCAAACACAAAGTGCATTGTGATGTCGCGGCGGCTAGCCAAGAGATGCCCATGTTACTTGCAGAATGGGTTTTTGTTTTTGACAATATTGTGAACAATTTCATTCCTGGTTTGCAAGGTAAGAACTAACAGAGCTAGGAGAGTGTGAAGGAACCATTTGAAAATGCTGCCACCCTCTGGAGAAAAAATAATTTCCCAAGACAGAAACTGCCGTTCAATCTAGAAGTGTCACAGAATTGGATGTACAAGAAGAAAAGGGGTTTTCACCAGTAATGTTAAGATTGCAATCCTAGAAGCATTTCCATGTACATAGATGGCACTGAATTTGATTGGGCTACCTTCTGAAAAAGCATCCATACAGTAAGGTTACAAGCCTCTTGAACCCACTTGCACAGAAGTAAAAAAGGTAAAGGTAAAGGACCCCTGACAGTTAAGTCCAGTCGCAAATGACTCTGCAGAGTTTTTCTGGGTCATGTGGCCAGCATGACTAAGCTGCTTCTGGCAAAACCACAACAGGACACAGAAACGCCATTTACCTTCCCGCCAGACTAAGGGAGCTCACCCCGTCACAGGAATTCGAACCACAAACCTTCCGATCAGCAAGCCCTAGGCTCAGTGGTTTGGACTACAGCGCCACCCGCATCCCTCTTTGCACAGAAGTATATTCCACTAAATCTAGTGGGGCTGGAATTTAAATAAATTCATTCACACACAGGCTAGAAGAGTGTTTTTTGGGAGTGGGGTCTCACTCGAAAATGTATGCTAATGGAAGATAAAACACTATTATTAAACCAAACATATCCTAGTTTTATGGACTTGAGTCCACCTCATTCTAGACCTGACTAGTGTCCATATGGTCAGACTATGGGTAGATCCACATCATACATTTAAAGCACATGGCTTTCCCCCCAAAGAATTCTGGGAGCTGTAATTTAAGGGTGCTGGCAACTGGAGCTCTATAAGGATGAAATTACAGTTCCCAGGCTTCTTTGTAGAAGGCACATATTTTAAATGCTTGTTGAATGTGCTTTGAATCAGGGTTGTAGCTAGCGGGTGGTCAGGTGGGCCCCCGCCAGGGGCGCAGGTGAGGGGGGCGCAAAATTGGCTAATAATATGTCCATAAATATGTCTATAAATAAAAATATTGATTATTGCCTCATAGGAAAAGGTTTTAAATAGAGAGTGAATTGAATGGGGGGGGTGGGTTGGAAGAGAGGCAGAAAGAAGAGCTAATTTGTCAGTGGCTAGGGTGCGCAATCTGGACAGTTCAGCCAGGGGCGCAATATAACCTAGCTACAGCTCTGCTTTGAATGTACGGTGTGGACCTGCCCTATATTTCTGACGTACAAAACATCAGAGGGGTAATTGTGATGGCCTGTTGCAGCTTAAATAGGGATTCTCGAGAAAACTTAAATGCTAACAAATATATGGCACAAGCAATCATGGACTAGAGAGTCCACTTACTGTATTTAGATGGATGTGATGCAGTGGATTGCCCACATAAACTTATGCTGCAATACATTTCTTAATCTTTCAGATGCTTTGATTCTATTTCTGACTCATTTGGTGTGCTGCAGTCTTACATCAATCCTATGCATGTTTACTCAGAAGTAAGCTCTATTGAAGTCAAGGGGCTTTGCTGCGAGGACAATAAGATAAGTCAAACCTTTGCTTAGTGCAAACATGATACTTTGAAAAGCACTGGGGAGGAGCCAAGTGGCTGCACACTTCTTTCTGGGAGACCATAGTTTTATAAGGTCCTGGTAAGCCATAGTTTGGTTTACCATGTCATGAGAATGAGGCCTAAATCTACAGCAGAAAGCAGTAAGGGTTCAAAGGCTAAAAATGTCTTATGAGGCTCAAAGTAAACATCTCAAGCTCTCTTGTTTGCTTTCTTCTAGTTCTTGAGCTGGAGGGAGAGGCAAATCTTTCATCTTCTCTGCTAGATCAATTTAAAAGCCAGATACTGTCAGTGTCAACCTTAGGTATTTTCACACCTGATGTTTTTCTTCTTTTGAACTGTTTTATAACTTGCTTTTCAGCTTCAAAACAAGCTCCTCAATGTGAGAAACAAAAAAGTTAAGAAGTACTTATACAAAAAGAAATCATGATAGCAGCAAAATATAAAAGACAGAAACAAATTTAGAGAAGCAAATCTATACATGCACTGGTCGTTGTAAAGTACCACAAGACTGTTTAGTGTTTGCTATAAGATGCATGCAGAGCAGTCCTATGCAAGTGTATTCAGAAGTAAATACCATCAGGTTCAATGGGCCGTACTTCAAAATACAAAGGATTACAGCTGTGCAGTCCAATTCTATGCAAAAACAATGAAGTGTCCTGTCAGCACCATAAAAGTTAGTATTTGATTTATTTTTTGATACATTTCTATACCACACTTTGCGCAAAGGCCACAAGGTTTTTTCCTCTGCATGCAGCATAGCAAACAACATGATATAAATACGGAACATAATATGCATAAAATGGAAAAGATAAAAAGAGCTGAATTGGTACAAGTACCATCAAATTGTTCATAATTGTTTTAAGTCACTGATATCATCATTTGAAAACTGGCTGGAAGAGGCTCTTTTCCACCTGTTTCTCAGGAGGAAAGCAATGGTGTGGTTAAACACATCTCTGGGAGAGAAAGCTTTCCGCAGATGTGGAGCCACCACTGAAAAGACCCTTTCATGGGTCCCAGTGGTTTGCATCTCATCCTGCACAGTGACCACCAGTCAGGCCTCATTCACTGACCTTAAGGTACATGCAAGTTGATAGGTGTGAAAGCATGTTCTTAGATCTGGGATGGGAAACCTTTGGCCCTTCCATCATCCCTGACAATCGCCCATGCTTGCTGAGGTTGATGGGAATTGTTCAGCAACATCTGGAGGTCCAAAGGTTCCCACCCCATCTTAGATATTGGGGGCCCAATAGAGTCGTGACTATGACTTTCATGAACCATTTCATCAGCTGCATGGCAAGCTGTTATGAGATGAGAGGCAGATATGAGAAAAAGCAAAATAAGGGATGCTATTACAAACTCAGGCTGGAAAGCCTAGCAATGCAAGGTGTTAAGTGTTACTTTGCAGGGCACAACTTCAATTCAAGATCCACATTTATTTTTTAATTGAGTTATCTGAGTGAGCTCTGCATTGCTGCATTGCAGGGTTGGACTAGATGACCCTTGGGATACTTTTCAACTCTACAAATATATGATCAGGTAAAGTCTTCAAGGGTGCCATTGTGCCTGCAGGTGCCACACTGGTAACCCAACTCTGTTAATGTTTTCTATAGTCATCCTTTGGACTCTCTTCAGTCCAAGTCTGATGGTGTTATATGAAGCCTATACATGTATACTCAGAAATAAGTTGAATATGTGGGACTTCCTCAGAGTTTGTTGCAAAAGGACTGCAGCTTAACACAGAATCCCCTCCAGAAGAGCTGTAATGCGATTGCATCAGCTCCTTTAAAAATTATCCATCTTTAAAAAGACTTGGTACACATTACAATTTATGTTGGGAATGTATGTTGATGCAAGATTTTTGGGATTTAATTTTGATAGAAATGATACATATTACTGAATAAACTATTGTTTGCTGTCCAAGATTAATGTTACTGATTTTTTATGAGGCAAATGTAGATAGATATATTGTCAAAATAACTTACCGTAGTTCTGGATATTATTTTGGCAGCTTGAATAGTAATTCAAGCCTCAAATGTTATATTGGATAATTAGTAACACTCATTCTACAATATAGCTACAGTGGAGAAATTTATAAATTATTTGATATTTTGACAGGGATTAGAATCTCCAGATACTTTTTTATGATTTGGCATTCCTTCATTACATACACAGAAAGCATCATTTTCAATACAAGCCTTGCCACAAGCCGGGCAAATCTGGAACTATACATACTTGGCAATCAATAACACTAATATTCTTTCATGTGAAAACAACTTTTATTGTCACTTTTTTCTTGCATGACATGGACTTTATGTAACTGTACTTATTCTATGTGCCTATTTATCAATTTGCTTTTAATCTTTTAAATTTTCATCTCTTGCTACTATTGTTTTCTCTCTTATAAAAGTAAATTTTAAAAAATTAAAACAAAAAAGTCAATTCCTACGACTTTTTTTATTAAAAAAAAGGCATTTCCGGCGGACACCTACAATTCCCTAGTGAAAACCACGGTTCTAAACTTTCACACTGCCGTCCGACGCATGTCTACTCTAAAGTAAACACAACAGAGTTCAACAGAACTTACATCCTAGGTAACCATGCATAGTACTACAAGCAAAGAAAAAGAAAAAAGAGAAAAGAAAAATTAATCGCGAAGCTCCCCCAGGCGGCTTTCATAGAGAAGGCGGGTTTCTGCCCTGAAGATTTCCTCCTCCTCCCGCTGGCCTAGGAAGGAGAGCCCATTTCCCTCTTTCGCAAACTTCAACTCCCAGCATCCCCTTCTGCCCCTGGTACGCCGGCCCCTCCCCCTCCCCTTTACGTTACTCTAAGTGCGCAGATTGGCCCGAGCCTCCAACCAGTCAGCGGCCTCCCCTTTGGCCATTCCGGCCGTCACTCCCAGCACGGCCAATTGGACGTTTAACGTCAAGGGAGGACGCGCTATTCCCGAAGCGGTCTTACGCCGCTCGTGCCGCGGAGGGGCCGGCGCGGGGATAGGGGTTGCTGGCGCAGTTAGCGTCGCGCAGGCGCTCTGCTGTCCAAGTCGGAGAAAGGGGAGGGGGGCGGTGGGAGAAGGAGGTGGCGTTAGCTGGAGCCCCAGACAGCTGGAGGGGATAAACAGAGGAGGGGGCCGCGGAGGGCTCGGGTCCCAGCCAGGCCGGGGCTGCGAAGCCTGGCGACCGGCTCAGGCTGCCACCCAGCCACTCACCTCCCGGAGGGGCCCCTGCCCTGGCTCGGGCTTCGGGCCGCCCCCCTGCATGGAAGTTCAGGGGCTTCGTCCACTGGCTGCTGCGGCTGCTGAGCCTGCCCTGAGGAGGCCTGACAGGTAACTCCCGTGACCCCCCCTTCCTTCCCTCCTTCCCCGTGAGAGATATCGGCTCCCCCCTCCCCACTTCTTTTTCTCCAAAGGTAGATGCCCCCCTCCAAGTGACACACGATCCGCCCCCTGTACTTCCTTGATTCCGTAATAACCTATTGCCCCATAGTCTGTTTCAACCCCCCCCACACGTTTCCTCCCCCCTCCCCACGTGAATTTACAGGGGCACAAAATGGACCGCAGCATTTTGGGTTTCGAATAAGCATGTAGCTCCTCTGGCTGCTTTTGCAACCTCCCACTGTGTTCAAGGGAAGTTGGTGCACAGCTCACTCCAGGTCCCCCCCCCCCTTGAGGTCTCTCTCTCTCTCTCTCTCTTCCTAGCAAATTCCAGGGTTAGTCTTTCACACAGCAACGAACTCCCTCTTCCCCTTCGTAAAGAGATGGTGTGCTTTGTGGCCCCAGCAGATTCACTGTGGCGGAAGCTTTTAAGGAAGGTAGGAAGTTGCCTTCATGCAGAGTCCATCTAGCTTAGTATTCTCTATGCTGACTGGCAGTGGCTCTCCAGGGTTTCGAATGGGTCTTTTCTGGCCCTCTGTGGAGATGCTGCATATTGTGAGCTGAGGACCTTCAAGGAACATAGGAAGCTGCATTATACCAAATCAGTCCAATGATCCATCTAGCTCAGAAGTGTCCACCCCTTATCAGCAGCAGCTCGCCAGGATTTCAGTTAGGGCTTTCTTCCAGCCCTACCTAGAGATGCTGGGGGTTCTGCAGGCAAAGGATATGCTCTGCCAGAGAGCTATCACCCAAATTTTAATAGAGTAAGGCCCACTTTGTTAGCAGAATTAAAAGCCAAGTTCATTAAAGCTTCTGCCACAATATGAGGTATCGCAAGACTTTAATAGGTAATGTTGAGGCAAACATCTCAGATCAGTTAGCATAGAACAACTGTCCCTACCTTGACCATAGAATAGTTATTTCTCTTGCTGTCTTTGGAACACATTATTTTAATACAGTGCCAGCTGTAAAAGTGATAAAGGTCTGGCAATATTTGTATGTGTTCAGCATTGTGATTGTGAGCAGGAAGGAGGTTTGGAAAAGAGCAATCTGTGTACTCTATGTGGACACAGACACACAAACACCAGCCCTCCTCTAATTGCTAGTATTCCCTGTCTTTGTATCTTATGTTTACTGCCTTGCTACTGTTTCTTTCCTGTCTTGCCTCTTCTGTCAGAAAATTGTCCTTCCTAAATTTGATAAGTAAGTTCTTAGATTCTACAGTAGTTTTAATATTATTCATAGTTGTAACCCCAACAGTTGTGAACCCTTGGTTGTTCCCATCCCACTTTTTTATGCATGGGGAAGTGAGGTAGAAGTGAATGTTGTGCTGAGGGCCTCCTTGCATTTTCTTAGCTGTGGAGGAAATGTGTGCTAACTGCTAACTTCTGACTTCCAAATACCTTTCCTTGATGCCCATTTCCCTGCTGCCTGGCCAATGATATCTTGCACCCTGCATCCCTTTCCTAAAGCATGCTCCTTAACTACCATTTTAGTGCATAATTTTAAACTGGGTTGGTTTTTGTTGTCAATTGGTATCCAAAGTAGGTTTATTTCGCTCATGCAATTCTGGGCTTTTGAAAATCTCTGTGCCCTGCTTTCTGCTGTGAGTGTGGGCATTTGTACAAAGCAGAGTGCAGTATTTCTTTTTATTGACATGTTTCCATGTAGACCTCATGGGGGGAATTAAACCTGTGCTTGCTTTTTATTGTAATGGCAAACATTAAAAAAATAGGTATGAAATCATGTCACACATGAGCCTCTGACAGCATCAGAAAAGAGGTAGAACAAGCTCAAACATTAACCTGTAAAGCCAATCTAGATTAAATGTTTTATGTGTTAAATGAGTATAGCTAGCAAGTGTGAGGCTTAATGGCCAACCTGTACTAAAGGAAGTTGGGAGACATCATTTGGCTTAATACTGGCTGACAGCCTATATGGGAATGTGTTCAACTACTGGTGGATGAATCGCATGACTGAATATGAAGATGGAAAAGTGCTTATAGGCATCATCTTGCTGTGAATGCAGATCTTCAGCATGCCTGTGATAAGTTACATTAGAAGATCCATAGAGCTCACTACAGCACAAGTATAGTTGCCAATCGTAGTTGGCTTGGTGGTATGATTGACAGATTTATTTTACTATTTGGAGTATGTTTATTCCATCTTTTGGGGTCAAAAACTCTTCAAAGGTAGTTCATGTTTAGAAGCATAACAGTGATTTAAAACATAAAGGGTAGCCATCTAACATGTTACATAAAGAAAATAGTGCCAGTTAAATTGTGAATTGGCAGCCTTGTTTAGTTAAAAATAGATAGAAATTATCAAGGCCTTAAGAATAATTTAAAAACAGCCAGAGAAGGAGCCAATCATACATCCATTGGAAGGAATTCCCCAGTGACAGGGCCACTACTGAAAAGTCTCTGTATCTTGTGACAACCAACCAAATTGATGTGAAGAGTGGGCCTATAAGCAGTTATCACCACACTGCAGACAATTGAGGAGGATTAGTGACAGTATAAGTGGAGGAACAGGACTGTAGACACAGCAATTGCATTCTGTCCTACTTGCAGCCTGATTCCATACAGGCTATTCAGGTGTACCAGTAAATTCTGCTCTGTTCAGTGAGATGTGCTCCCAAGTCAGTGTGTGTAGGATTGTAGCCTTTTAAAGGAACAGGCAGCATTTTAATGTGGCAGTGTAGCAATCCTAGTCAGGCATCCAGTTTCCCATGCCACATGCTCAGTCTGTTTCAGGAAACACATCTGCATGGACTGAGAAGAAAGCCTCCAAAAGTGGGTGGGTGAGTTGACCCTTTACTTCCCCTTCTCATGTCATTGGAGCACTGTGTCTTGGCCAACTATCTTTCTTCTCCCTTTCAAAAGTGAGAGCTCCTTTGGGCTATTAGGCTTCTTTTGAGTGGTTAGCATAGTTTCTTGCTGCAGAGGCTGACAGCCAGACATAATTATATCAGTATGGGAAAGAATGGCTGTCAAGTTCTGTCCCCTGTCACCAAGCCTGCCATGTGTTTCTCTGAGGCTGGACTTCATTGAGCACGGATTGCAATGCTGGCTGAATCCCATCCTGAAGAGGCATCCAAGTCTTCAACTGTTCCTCTGTGGAGAGATGGTGTCCTAGCTTCTTCATTCCTTTCTACCATTAAACAAGCCCCTTGGGGTTTCTGTGCATGACCAGTTATCTTGAGTGAGCACTGCAGCTTGTTTGTTTGCATGCATGATGCATGGCACAGCCAAAGCTCAAGCGCACTTTTACAAAAATGAGGAAAAGCCTATCTTGATATAGGCTGTTTTTCCTTGCTTCAGTGGTCGGTTGCATTGCTCGCATTCCTTCCTACAGTTTTGCCTCACGCTAACAGATTATAGGTAGTGGAATTGAGTGAGGATCACAATTCACAGCAAGTATGTAGCTAGCTGGTCAAGATAAGTGATGACTAATACGCAGGGATATATATAAAGCTAGTGGGGTGGGGGAACAAAATTTATTGAATTAGAAATTTTATCTTTATTAAATTTATATCCGGTTCTTCCCAAAGGAACCCAGCACAGCAAACACATCAGTGAAAAAGCAATATGATTAAAAATGAACATTTAAGCATGTAAAAAGATCTAAAATCAATCAAACATTTATAAACAATTACAGTGGTACCTCGGGTTACAGACACTTCAGGTTATAGACGTTTCAGGTTACAGACTCCGCTAACCCAGAAATAGTACCTCGGGTTAAGAACTTTGCTTCAGGATGAGAACAGAAATCGCGGTGGCGGCAGCAGCAGCAGGAGGCCCCATTAGCTAAAGTGGTGCTTCAGGTTAAGAACAGACCTCCAGAACGAATTAAGTTCTTAATCTGAGGTACCACTGTAAACATCTAGAAACAGTTTAAAACAATCCTTATCCTCTTGGCTAATAATTTCAAGGTTGCCAGGAACGGTTTCTTTGAGCTATCAAATGCCTGGGTAAACAGGAATGCTTTTAAATTTCCTCCTGAAACTAAGCAGTGAGAGATGCAGACCTCACCAGACCTCCCATAAATGGGTTTATGCCACGCAGGTAGCAACAGGGCCTCCCCTGCCAGTCATAGGGCCTGAGATGGTTAATCCAAAAATCTCCAAGCCTTCCACACAAAATACTAAAGTAATTATCAGTAATATACAGATAAAACCAGCAGGATTTAAAAACCATTTTACGCACCTGACATGTCCAGATAGGTTTTCTGTACTAAAAAAAAATAAAAATTAGTCGGTATCTAGAACAGCATGATTAAGGTGCCTGTCTATTATTAATAGTCGGGGTGTTCCAAAGCGTAGGTGCTGTCATGCTGAAAGATCGACTCATGGATGTGGAGCAAATGTTATATAGCACTTGTGAAATTTACACAGATAGAAGTGACACATATGGGGCAAGGCACATATGGGGCAATCCCTCAAGTCAACTGGCCTCAAGCTGTTATGGGCATTATATACTAATAGTAAAACCTTGAACTGGGTGCAGTAGCAAATTGGTAGCCAGTGCAGATCTTTGAGCAGAGGTGTAAAATGCTAACAGGATCCCACTTGGTGGACCAACCACAAGGGAAGCCTCACATAGAGTTCATTGCAGTAATCCAGTCTTGAAGTTTCAATTGCCTGGACTACCTCAGCTGTCGCAACTATCGTAAAGCTCAAGGTTCATAGGTGGCATGCCAGTGGATGCAGGTTGCTGGGGAGCAAGAGCAGAAAGGGGATGTTGCCTTCCTGCCCTGCTTCACTAGCTTCCTGAAGCACCTGGTTGGTCACTGTGGGGGAGCAGGTTGCTTGAACTAGTTGGCCTGTGGTTGGATCCAGCAGGGCTCTTCTTATCTCCAAATGTGAATGATGGTTTCAGGTGGCTGATGGGGGAGAGGGGAGATCATAGTGGTAGGGCTAAGGGGAAAGGTGGTGGCAACTAATGACCTTGCTTGAATGGGAGAAGGTGGTGTAGGACCTGAGCCACAAGGTGTTGTGATAGCCGTGTGTTTAGATGGCTTTAAAATGGGGTTAGGAAAGGCAGCAATATGAAGGTCATGTTATCAATGACTACTAGCCCTAATAGCTAAATGGAATTTTCAGGTTCAGGGTCGTCTTCCAAATGCCATTTGCTGAGGGCGGTGAATCAAAGCAGGAGAGGACCATAGCCATCACATCAATATTTTCTGTATAAATAATAAAAAAATCTTCTCTTCCCCATCCCCCTTATTTGACCACAGGTAATTTCAATGCCGTCTGTATGGACACGAACTCTACTGGAATGCTCGGATGCACAGCAACACCTCCACTAGCTTGCTTTCGTCAGCCCTATTGTGAGAAGATGGCAAAAGCAAACATTACTAGAGACCTCATCCACAGGCAGCTCAAGGTACCTCTTGCGCTAAAGGGAGGGAGGAAGATAATGAACTTGAAAGGCAGTTGGAGTAGTTTGGTGTGGTCTCAGAAAACATACTTTTAATGTTTTAAGCTCAGATCAGATGTCATGGCCAAACCATGGTTTGGCTGTCAGTGGTGCTGGCTCTAGGTTCTTTTGAGGGGGGTAGAAGATGGGCAAAATTCCCTCTGAAGGCTTTCCTTGCTGAGTGGCTGTAGCACCTCTGCCCTGCCACTGCCCAGTCACTTGCCCTCACCCTCAGGACACAGTAGGCACAACTGCCCAGAGAGAGTGTGTGTTTGTGCTCTGTCTTATCACTCTCATTGCTGCTAGCCCACTTGGAGAAGGCAATGAACAGGTATATATGTATTTTACTTCATAGCCCAACTGTCATCTGTACAGATAAGCAGGTGGAATACAAAACATAAATAAAACAACCAGATGCACAACAATAAAATACAATTTGAAACAGGCAAAGGCAACCAAAACAACCATTCACTTAAAATGTCTCAGGAAAATAACCTGACATCAGAATGATGACAGCTGTACTTGTGAGAAGAGGGCATTCTGCAATTAGGGCACCACCACAGAAGGCTCATTTATCTAATTTATTTTGCATTATTGTATGTTGCTTTTTGTCAAATATGCGCAAGGTGGCTTACATCAAAACAAATATTTATTTATTAAAATTTATATACTGATTGGTTGCAAGACAGACAAACTCTCAAACCTCTTATATCTGTAGGACTTACAAAAGCAGTCAAAGTGCAATTAAAAATGATAACAAGCAATATTAAATGCAAGCAGACTAGAAGCTGCCGGGTGGTGGTGGTGGGGGACACTTGAAATTAAACTAAACATGACCTCTGAAAGTTTCCGGAGAACAAAGAAGTCTTCACTATATGCCAGAATCCCATCAGTCATGGCCACCCATGCGCCTCACATTGTTAAATATGGAGCTTCCCCGGTTGTGAAACAAGAAGAAGAACCTCCTCAGAAGATCTCAAAGCAACAGCAAGGAGAAGAAGCAAGGGGCTTCCCATCATTCCACAGCTCGGCTGCCGCCTCTCCTTCACAGCCACCCTCCATACCCTGGATTGTGGGGGCACTTGGAAAAGGGCCTCCATGGATTATCGTAACACTGTGCCTTCTGTTGGAATGGTATAGAGTTAGATTTAAGAGCTCACATATTGATTCCTGACATAGTAAGGCATGATATCCATTTGCTCTTTATAGGAGAAGGGTGCCCTCAGCTTTGAACGACACTATCATGTCACTGACCCCTTCATCCAGCGCCTGGGCTTGGAGGCAGAGCTGCAGGTAAGTTGCAAGTGCTGGAGGAACTGAAGTACAGCTCCTCCCCTTACAATGACAGCTGCTGAACGCTAATGAAAATCCAGTTTCCCTCTCAAGGATTGGTGTTCCTCTTCTGACACGTTTTGCATTTATTTAACATTTTGTGTTGGCAAAGGACCACATGGATTTGTGATGCCCTTCAAGTGCCACCATTTTTAATCTTTCAGGGATGGGGAATCTTTTGTCCTCCAGGTGTTGTTGGGACACCAGCTGCTGCCATCCCTGACCATTGCTCATGCTGTCTGGGATGATGGGACTGGAGCCCAAGAGTGCTTGGAGAGGTTGTCCATCCTTAGTCTACTTGGATTTCCCCCTTCCAAGAGCTAGGTCTTTGCCTAAAAGAATTGAGCACCTACCTATGTGTTTGTGATATGCAAATCTCAGCTAGATCTAAAGCGTCAGTATCCTGTGAGTATCAGCCAAGCAGTCTAATCCTATGTGAGGTTACCTAGTTGTAAGGCTCAGTTCATTAGAAAGTGACATTATGAACCTACTTCCCTCAAATGTCCATGATTCATGGCTGTTTTTTTAAGGTAAAATGACCACATGGCCACCTTGTCTCTTATCCTCCTTATTTTATTGAACTAAGGCTTTTAAAACAGGAGCATGGGCTTTTGCAGACAGCAAGTTCCTTGGCAGGAGGTGGCAATTCAGTAGCCGCCCCACACTGGTTGGCGCCAGATAACTTCTCGGAACTTGATGTATCTGTATCACAACCCAATTTCAGTCATGTTGAATCCCTAAAATATCAGAGGTGGACATGATTTTTAAAGGGCATTGAGACTAGTCAGAGGGTGTTGTTGAGCCTACCCCCTGCCCAGTACACTTCCCTGTCCGAAACCTCCTTCCTAGCTGCCTTTCTCCTGGTGGGGGTCCGTTGGGAAGAAGACCTTTCATAGGACAAGGAGAGTTCGGCACCCTTTCCTTTCTATCGGAAATCATAGAATCATAGAACTGTAGAGTTGCAAGGGTCATCTAGTCCAACCCCCTGTAATGCAGGAATCTCAGCTAAAGCATCCATGACAGTTGGCCAAATGTTCTTTACATTGCTCCTTCATTTTATAAGGATTCAGCAGTGGCTGTGCTGACACATGGGCTGTCTGTGGTCACCTCTAGCATTGAGTCTCAGTTGCTCTAGACTAGAGCAGTCTTCTCCAACCTCCAGTTATTGTTGAACTCCAACTCACCACCAGCCCCAGCTAGCATGGCCAACGATAAAGGGTTAGTGAAATGGGACTTGAGGATTCCTTTCTCTCTCCTCTCATGGGAGTTATAGTCCAACAAGATCTGGAGGGTGCCAGAGGTTCCAAGAAAGATCTTCTGGAGTTAGTGGGGGCTGCTTTGCATTTCCTGCAACTTACTCTTGTTAGTCGTGGTGTGGGAAGATTGTTTTCCTGAAGTATGTGCAAGCAAGCACATTATGAGTAGTAAAGGGAGTGACAAGGGACAACTCACACTGTACATCCAAATGAGGGTCTGAGAACTTAAAACTACAAGGGGAATTGGACATGTCCAAATAGTGTGATATTTTATTTTATCCCCGTCTTGGAATTCTGTAAAATCTCAAATTTGTATAACACTTTGCATTACCTTGTATAACTCTTTCAGGGTCATACTGGCTGTGTTAACTGCCTTGAATGGAATGAAAAGGGAAAGTAAGTATGTCTTAAAATTTAAAGGATGACTGTAGCATGTATCCAGTGGAGGGAACTCTGTAAAATGTGATGAGCAACTGAGTTTACCATGGGGCCACTTTCCATTTTGCTCTCTTGCTTAGCCAAATTGTGCCTTTGCTATTGTCTTCCCACTTCCAGCAGCAATTTTTCATTCGTTTTTAAAGTGCAGATTAAGCACATTCATGCTGTGGCTAGCAGCTGTCAAATTGAGAAGCCATTGCCTTTATGCCCTGCTTGTGAGCTTCTGAAGACATCTGGTTGGCTGCTATTTGAAATTAAATGCCGGAATGGATGAGACCTTGGCTTAATCCAGCAAGACAAATTTTACTATTTTATTTCATGCAATACAATGTCGTGACTTTCAGAAAGGATTAAATTGGGAGTGGGGAATCTGTAGATCTCCAGAACTGCTTTCAGAATTTTTTTACAATCAAGCTGTGTACAAAATTTATGATATAAAAAAATAAGATGAAATAAGCAACATACATTCCCAACTCCTATCAGCCCCAGCCAGGATGGCCAAAGGTTCAGGAGGGTGGGAATGGCAGTCCAACAACATCTTCATGCCTGGATTAAATTCTGGGAGATGGGAGTTATGTTAACCATAACATACTGTAAGCCATATAAAGGCAGGCTGCACAGTACAACCTGGAGACTTGCTGGAATAGAACCTGTGAACCATGTTTGACATGAGATGCTGGAAGTACTTTCTTACCTGTAAGTCAAGTCCTTGTATTGTGGGGAAAGTACAGTAGGGAAGAATAGACAACTCCATTAAATGTCTATGGAAAGGCCAAGGGAACAGTTTAAATCAAAAGGCATTAGTTGGAGGTATGGGGCACTTTCCACAAATTGTCAGCTGATGATTTGCCATTATCTTGTCCTGTTTCTGTCAATTATCATGCTGATAGTGGAGTCATTTTCTTCTCCTTCTAATTCCTTGCTGTGTGCTCCACAAACCTACATAGATTCTAGAGTGTCCCAGGTTGCACTTGCACCTGAGGTCTTCCTGCAAATGAATGTGGAACAATATGGAAGATCAGAGTTGTTTTCATGGGCAGCAAAGCTCATAACGGTTTGTCTCCTTTGACTTCTCAGTTTGCTGGCCTCTGGCTCTGATGACCAGCACACGATAGTCTGGGACCCGCTGCACCATAAGAAGCTCCTCTCCATGCATACAGGACATACAGCAAACATATTCTCAGTCAAGGTGAGTGGGTTTTGGACAAAGTGGTGAAAGGATGAGCAGAGGGGAAATGGTCTCTTTAAGCAGTATGCATTTACGAATGGGTCATGCAACAACATGTCACAGTGAGGAGTGTTGCTGTTCAGGATTCCAGCCATTCCATTCTATTGTCCCCTGCACTCAACATTTATGCGACATTTCTTGCCTACATTTATTTCTCAGTAGGCCAATTAGGGTCGCCCCACCTCCCTTTAAGGGTTTTGTTGTTTTGAGTTTTTGCTCTTCTGCAAACCTTGTGATTCCTCTAAGCCTTCAGTGGGGAGTATTCAGCCATCCAGATGTTGCTAAACTGCAGCTCCCATCAGCCCCAGCAAGCAAGGCTCAAAACCTCGTGTACTTGTCTGGCTACACAAGCAACGGCACTCGCAGTCTGAATATTTGAAACAGAGGAGAACTTGTAAATCTTCAGCATTGGGGAGCAGACTGGACACTGCTGTGACAAATCTATTGTGCAGTGTCTCAGACCCAGGGACAGCCCCAGGCATTTGGAGGCGAATAATTCAAATGATGCCTGACTGATGGTGCTGTTCCACAACTGTTGCCCATTTCAATAGCACTTGTCCCAGAGAACCTCCCAGTTGGTTGTGCCCTGTGGGTCAAATAATCTGTATTCCACTCTGCTGCCATTAATGGCACTCCAAATCCTCATGGTAGGGCTGTCTCTGCTTCAATTATTTTTACATGGCCCAGACTTGAACTGTTTTTGGATGGTCAGTGTTGTTATTTCCTCATTCCCCAGTCAGTATACCAGTGGTGTGAAATAGCTGTCATCAGCACAAACTTCTGGCATGCCTATTATGGCCTGCATGGGTTTTTTCTCGTAGCTCATGGCATGCGCACTAGCTGCTGTGTTTATGGTGACAGACTCATGTGACTGGTTCATCCAGTCCACATTCAGCTGAGGCTAAAGAGGGGAAAGGCGGCTGCACAGATTGAAAAGTGAAGCTTGCAGTTGTGTGACTCCCTTGCTGACATCAGAATGAATGTACAGACACCAGCTCCACACAGATAATGGTAGAGGCAAGCACAAGCCCCAAGTTGTGATGTTTTTCCTGTATATGCTGAATGATGTGTGGTAGCTACAAATCTCTGGGTGAATGAGTGAATTGGGCAATGTATTGTGCATACTTATCACACTTCTCTGGGATGCTCCAGTTCAGCATAAAGCAGGATGTCATGTGCTGTGCTGTCTGAATAGGTGGATTTCCTTTGTCACCATTTTTATCTCTCTGTCTTCCATTTCTGTTCTTTTATATTTGAGCATAAGGCCACTTATAAAATTATTATAAAATTATCACTCAGTAGGGCAGACAAAATAACCCACAGTTTGACCAAAAGTAACAATCATTTATTTCATAAAATTTATATACTGCTTGATTGTTTTTTGGAAAAAAAAACACCACCACAAGACCCCTGAAAACAATTTGCAAAAAGAAGAAAATATATGTGGTGGTTCCAGTCCACATCAGGACACTCCTTGTTGTATGCAACTAGTGGGTCCTGCATGGTGATGTACTTACTCATACGCATTTCTCAAATATATAGTGGGTGCCAGATTAGCATTGTAGCAGCTCAACACATACAGATATGTGGTTCTTCCTTGCTGGATCAGAGTGTATCTCTAAGGCTGGACTGGGGAAGCTGTGGTCCTCTGGATGTTAAGAACATAAGAAAAGCTTGCTGGATCAGGCCAATGGCTCATCTTATCCAGCATCTGCTTCTCACAGCATTCACCAAGATGCCTGCAGGATCTGAGCACAAGAGCACCCCCCCCCCCAATTTCCAGCAGCTGCTATTCAGAAGCATTGCTGCCTCAGACTGTGGAGGCAGAGTGTAGCCTCCATCACTTCTAGCAACCATTGACAGATTTATCCACCTTTAGCTTGAGGCCTGGGGCCAAACGGCCCTCCTGCTTTCCCTGCCTCCCCAATTGGCCCTGAATTGTGAGGGGTTGAGATTTGAGATTATACCAGTCCTATCACCATGGTGTACCTGCCTTCCTGGCCATTTGCACATTGGACTTGACAGGAGCATATGCACCAACACACACACACACACACACACACACACACACACACAGAGCCTAATGTGCTTAATTCTCCCTGCACCCCCCGTCAACACACAAGAGTGTACATGTATGTAGTTTATGTGCCCTGGAAACATTTGCATGCTTGGGTTTCCTCCTCTTGTATTTGTCCTAAAAACACTCTTAGGAAATACTAGAAATTTCACTGGAGGTGGGCACTTATCAGTTATGGGATGTATCCAGTGTTCTTTGTCTATAAGTGTAAGTTCTTTTGCGTTAGCAGCAGAAATTCATTGCACAAGAGATTGTTGTACAATAAACTGCACAAGGTTACTAGCAACCCGCTTGTGGATTACCTTGTGCAACAACATTCCCCTGGTGCAAAACACTTTGCCAGGGGAACAAGCAGACCACTAAGTGATTTTCATTTAGTGCTACACTGGATACCACCCAAAGCCAATCAAATGGGGCTGCTCAGCGGCACTATCCTAAGCAGGCAATAGGATGCCTGTTTGTTGTGAGGGGAAAGTGTTGTGGTTGTGTTGGAAGATCCATGCTTTGAAAATCTTGCTTTGTTTCTCCACAGTTCTTACCACATGCGGAGGATCGGATACTTATCACTGGGGCTGCCGATTCCAAGGTGCATGTCCACGACTTGACGGTTAAAGAAACCATCCATATGTTTGGGGATCACAAGAACAGAGTCAAGCGTATTGCCACAGCTCCCATGTGGCCCAACACCTTCTGGAGTGCGGCTGAGGATGGGCTGATTAGGTACAAGTGCTTTCTTATCTGAAGAGCAACAGCTCTTCCTACTAAGGGCAGTGAATTTTGTGAGGATGCTAAGAACTCTCTGTTGGATATTACAGTACTGCAGTTCCCAGGCTTGTGTGGTGTGAGAGCCAGAACTGTTTGAAGCCAAATTCAGTATAAGGTGCAATGCTGCCTTATACTGTGTTGATCATTGGCCCATTCAGCCCTGTACTGTCTGCTCTGTCTGGCAGCAGCTCTACATAGTCTTTGACAGAGACTTCACATTGGCCTGCTACTCTAAACCTTTAACTGGAAATGCCAGAAATTGCACCTGTGACCTTTTTGCATGCAAAATGTGTGTTCTGCCAGTTAGCCTTCATCGAAGAGAACCCACCTAAGCAAAACCTAGGTAGGAAGAAGTAGACCAACAAAGCATTGGTGCCTTAATTCCCCACTTTCCTTGGTGGCTCAGTGTGTGATGCCTATCAGTAGCTTCTTCGGTTCTGTATGTACCTGTTAACACTCTTTCATTTGCTCATTTTTTAGACAGTATGACCTGCGAGAGAACAGCAAACACTCAGAGGTCCTGATTGACCTGACGGAATACTGTGGACAGCTTGTGGAGGCAAAGTGTCTCACTGTCAACCCCCAGGACAATAACTACCTGGCAGTGGGAGCCAGCGGGCCTTTTGTACGGATCTATGATATACGCATGATCCACAATCACAGGTAACGGTAGCTAATTCTTGGAGCTTGGTGGGGAAAATAATGTAAAACCAAGAAGAAAGACTTGCACCAATTCACATGAACTGTAGAGGGGGCTGCAAACTCAGAGTACACTACAGGTTCCTTAGCGTTAGCTGTGCTGGTTTTGTAGCAGCAAACCATCAGTCATATTGCTGTGGAACCAAGGCCAACATTTATTTTAAGCTTAGCCATAGAGTGTACTCTGCCACAAGATGGAGTGCTTTACTGCCTCACCATAAAGGTGGACATAATGCACTTTGAACATGACGGTGCATCCAGGGTCACATGAGTAATTTCTGTTGTCCAAACCTTGGAAATTGTTCAGCTGTGAGTGGATATATGTGGCTATTGTAGAGAAGTAGACTCTCGAAAAGTATTCAGGTTAGTTTCTTGCAACAAAAGAGAGGGACCCGTAGCAGCTTTTAAAAGGTGGAATGATGTAGCACACAGTTTCGTTTCAGAGAGCTTGATTCTTGTACAGTATGATGTGGACAGTAAAGGTGGTGAATATATTCATTTATGTATATGCATAGAAAAACTGGGGGGGGGGGAGATAAAGTGAGATAAAGGGGGTACATCTTGATCTTTGCTTTTGCTTTAATTGAAAATTCTACGCCTGAATGCCAAAGCTATCAGTAGTATGACATCATACCAAAGACTTGCAGGAGAGCACTGGCTTGTATGTACTGGAAGCTATTAAGTCTCGTTCCTGATTGAAAGTAAATCTATGGCATTTTATTTTGTGTTAGCTACATTTGCTTGCCTTTTTTCCCCCTTCTTCTTCCCTCCACTCTCTTTTGAATTGTTCCCATAGTTGAAATCTAAATTGTGAACTCTTTGGGACGATGGTTTTTCTTTGTTTTGCTGATGTTAACTTGGTAAATTGCCATGTTTATAACAGCAGGAGTCTGTAAATGAAACTTTTTTAAAATAGTCAAACTTTAACATTGTCTGTTGCACTACACATGAAGGATTATTCCTTGTGGTAAGATGCAATCTGCATTCCTAATTTACACCAAGTGATAATGCCTCCCAAATTCAGCAGCCTCCTGTTCCATCAGTCCTCTTCTCCCATCCCTTTAAGCATATAGAACTCAAAGACTGTCCCAGTATCCTCCCCCACTCTGCTCCCTGGTAGTTTCTTTGTGTTTCGCCTTTTTAATTTAACAGCTTTGGTACTTTTCTTGCCCTCAAAACCAGCATCATCAAAATTAAACTCTTCCTCCCTTCTGGCTAGAAAAACAATGAAACAGAATCCCACAGCTGGAGTCCATACATTTTGTGACCGGCAGAAACCCCTTCCAGATGGTGCAGCACAGTACTATGTAGCAGGTAAGACAGTTTTGTGTGTTGTGACTAATCTGGGGTCTGCTTGTGTTCCGAAAGATGGTGGTTTTGCTGTCTCATTAAGGAGGTGCAGGTGCTTTTAAGTTACTTGGACTGGGAGTGGATGGTTCAAACATGGATTTTCTTGACTGTTGATAGCTTAGTATGAGTTGAGAACTACTTCATATCGCAACTGACAGGTGCTACAAAGGCCAGCACAAATATGAGATGCTTTTACGGTAAAGCAGCTTTTGAAAGTTTGTAATAGTGGGCTGAGGTCACTTCCATTCTGTGAAGTTGTAGAGGTGAGATATGCTTGAGTTTCTTCTCGTTCTTCAGGGCATCTTCCAGTGAAATTGCCAGACTACAATAACCGGCTGAGAGTTTTGGTAGCTACATATGTCACCTTCAGTCCTGATGGTACAGAACTCTTGGTCAACATGGGAGGGGAGCAGGTAAGAAGGATCACAGATGAATTACCCATTAGAAATTGATGGGCAGGTGTTTTGGTACTGGGTTGTTGGGGGGGGGTTGTTACCATTTCCCAATTTTATTTCTTTGAGCAACCCTCACAGGGCTGGAAAGTCATTCAAAAGATTTCCTAGATAAAACTCAAAGGGGTCAAGGTCAGCACCACAAGGAGTGAGTGACCTTTGGCCCATCCACAGTGCAGAAAATATTGCAAAATAGAGAAAGCAAAGATTCTAATCAAACCAAATGTGAAACATAGTTCTCTTATGTGGAATTACTGGTGCTGGTTATGCCTAAGAGCTCCCATGAAGAAGACGTGAAACATGTTGGGATCAAACCATACTTCCCTGCACCTGGAAGTGTCATCCCTTCTCCTTTCTCCAAATCTAGGTTTGCTGCCACATAAATCTCTGGAAGGGCCTATTTAATTATAGACTTGAAGTTAAATATATGAATTGCTTTCACTGAAAAGCATTGCATTCACTGCGGTGCCAGGTAGCTCTTCAATGGTAGTGGTTTCATACATGTGGACGATCGCTTGGCAGTCATTAAGTGATTTGCACAGTGCTCATTCTGGGCAGCTAGTACTGCATATGTTTTGTAGTAGTTTCTCATCCCTCCAATCTCTTTGGGTTGAGAGTTTCCTGAAGATAACAGCTGTGGGGACTTTCCATGAAGGTCATGAATCCCTTGGGTTGCCCTCTAGATGTTGCTGGGCTAGAAGTCTCACCATTCCTGACCATTGGCCATGTTAGCTGGGGTTGGAGTCCAGCAACATCTGAAGGGCACAGAGTTCTCTATCCCTGCCTTAACTGTCTCTGAAAATCATAGGTCCCCTGGAAACACTGGCAATGAACAAACACCTTATCCTTCCCAGCACTATCTGATTTTGGAAGCAAAGGAACACTTTCTTTGGTACTAGGAAAGTGTGACTTGGTGTACAGAACATGAAAGTGACATGGTCTCTGTCCATAGGTGCTTCCTTTTGGTAGTTTCACTGCAGGCTGTAGACTTAAGCTGGCTTTTCAGTGTGTATTATTATATTTTAAAAAAAGCATACTCATGGTTTTCAGAATAGGAATTTTGCTGTTGTGCATGAAGCCACAAAAAATTGCCATTATATCCTTCCCTACTCTAAATTAATAAACTCATTCATGCTGTGTGTGTGCACACTCCAAGGCATGGGACACATTTGGTAATTCGGATAATTCTGGGACCATTCCTAGGCTTCTGCATGTAGTCCTAGGAACATATGAAGAAATCCTTTTCCAAATGCAGGAAGTTTTTCCGTGGTTGCTTTTGTTCTCACCTGACAAATCAGTTTTCTAAGTCAAAGAGGTGGCTTGATTTAAAATTTCCATAAACTGATATAGTTTTGTTGTTTTATGACGAAGAAGCTGTTCTGTATATAACTCTGAAATCCATGGTTCTTTCTTAAGGCATCACTAGGCATTCAGTTGCCAGTGACCATCTTTTGAGGGTGGGGAGGCGCCTTTTGGGTTCTGAAGTCATGTTTTACATTACCCAGTAGAGGACATAGTTCCTCTCTACTAGAAACGTGCATGTTCATGGTAACTGGCAGAAAACAAATCCTTTTATTTATTCATCATAACTTGACTTGTAAAGCCTGCAAACTTACTGTCCTCCACTTGATTTCTAGGTTTACTTATTTGATCTGACTTACAAGCAGCGGCCATACACTTTTCTCCTGCCAAAGAAATGCCACTCTTCAGGAGGTAAGCGAACTACACTTATCTTGAATTGAAGAAAGCGCCTGTATTTGTATTCAACTCTTAAGGCATTTCTTTGTGGCCACTCCAGCTTTCCGCCTGTTTCTAGCCCTCTTGGAGGTTGACATAGATTTCAAAACTGGTGTTGTCCTTGGAATGGTGGTTGTGTGGAGGACTTGCAGCTCAGTTACAGCAAATTTTACTGCTTTTTATTCCCAATCAGTGTAATTTAAGTGTCTTTGAACAAACCGGGGAGATTCCAGTCTTTAATTACTTAATGGGCTTTGCAGTATCCCATAGATAATGCGGTGAGCCTCTCCTTGCTATTCCGCCCCATTGTTTTTTGGTGAATAAGTATTAGATACCCATTTTGACTTTGGTCACATTCATGCCATTGGTATGTGGCTTTTGCTAATGACATGCAAGTAAAATATGCAAAACTCGCTGTCACATTGGAAGTGGTGATCTTTACCAAACAAGTTGCCAAGGTAGGTAACTTATGACATGCTGTGGCTTTGTTTAAGAAATAAACGTAATGGAATGTCAGAGCATGTTGCAAAGCAGAAAATGGGACTTTTTATATTGAGTTGTAACTCCCCAGTGCATACCTCTTTGCAGAGCAATAAAACCAGATGTTTATAATGGATAGACACTTATTTGCTTAAAGGGAATAGGGCTGAGGAAAGTGTATGAGGCAGGACTTAGTGGCTTTGAACAATCAACAAAGCTAATGAAACAGCACCACAAGGCTTCCTCTTTCCCTGTACCACTGCAAATGGAAGCGACATTGCTGACTTCACTTACCACTCATAGTGCAGTTCTCTCTGTGTTAAGGGTTTCTCTCCCATTTGGAATAGTACAGCATGGAGTTGGTGGTGTAATGCTAGCATATCAGGACACTACAAACATAAGCTAGTTCAATAGCCAATCTCCCTTTCCCAGGAACTGTAGTTTTGTGTGTATGTGCACCAGGGGTGGGGGATAGGGATCTTAACAAAATTGTTGGTGCTCTCTCTGACTTACGATTCCCTTGGGTTGCTTGGGAAAAGCTATTATCGTTAAATATGAACAAAGCCTACTAGTTTGCCATTTAGTTGTTATTTTTTGTTAAGTTTAAGTAAATATGCCTCTGGAGGGAGCTGTATGCCCACGTCTGCATTCCTGGTTGATGTTGACTTTTGAGATACCTGGCACAGGCTAGCGACAAAGAGTTTTCAGAGATCCACGGGCAGCTGCATCTGTCCAAAAGTCCAGGCGGGGGCGAGGACCATAGCACTTCTCAAGCTGGCAACTCCATGGGGGGAAGGGGGGTGCCTTGATGTGTGTCATTAGGCCCCCTTTGCCTTGAGTTGACCCCAAACAGAATACCTCAGCAAGCAGGTCAAAATGGCTTCCCAATGCCTTGCCAAACCCTTCATCTGTAATCAATAAAAGTTGTGGCCTTATTTGGCCCAAGCTACGTGCCTTGTATAATTGGTATGGGTGGTCCTTGGAGGTGGGGGCACCAGGCTTACACAATGAGCTGTGAGCCAGGGAAGAGCAGATTGAAATCTTGCTCCTTGATGAATGGCTACAAGTTCTATGTGAGTTACGAGTGTTTATTTCTGGGATGCAGGGGGTGGTGGTGGTGGTTCGAACATATGCACTTTGTTTTACCCTTGGCCTCCTTGAGGATCGATGAGTCCACGAAACTGAATGGCCAAGTATGTGCAAGATGCCTGTACATTATCTGCAACTTACACCTTGCTTGTCTTTCCAACACTCAAGAGGTGCAGAACGGAAAAACATCAACCAATGGCGTGTCAAATGGCATCCATCTCCACAGCAACGGCTTCAGGCTGTCTGAGGGGCGAGCACACATAAGGTAAGGTGACATGATTGTCTTAAATGGTTTTGTATTTTTGATCTAAACCGTGTCCAAAAAGTTCTGGGAATTTACTGGGAGTGAGAGTCAACTTGACTGGAAACTCTGCCAAGTCTTCACCAACCTGGTGCCCTCCAGATGTTTTAGATTACAGCCTCATCCAACACAGCTGTACTGGTTGGGGCTGCTGGGAGTTGTTGCTGTTGTTGCCATTAATGCTATTATCTTCCACATATATCTCAAGGTGATGTACAAAGCATAATAAAGCCAACAAAAACCACTTAACAACTGCACGAGAAACAGCAGAATATAATTTTTTTAAAAACAATACAGAATAGACTTCCATGGCAGAAACTTGTTTATCCAGCTGCGAGAACTGATTGAAATAAAAGTGTGTTTATAAAAGCAGAGTATAAATTTAATAAATCAATGGGAGGTTGGGGGTAAGGAGGGGTTCCATGGCCAGGATCTATCTTGACATATTCCAGCTCTCCTCTCCTCCCCTCCTTTCTGAAGTCCACAGGTGGAGCTGCCTCCCTATCTGGAGAAAATCAAACTGCAAGCCAACGAGGCTTTTGCTTGTCAGCAATGGACTCAAGCCATCCAGCTTTATAGCAAAGCTGTCCAGAAAGCCTCCAGCAATGCCATGCTGTACGGAAACAGAGCTGCTGCCTACATGAAGCGCAAGTGGTAAGCAAACGAGGCCACTTTTCGTAATGAAATGAGCCTCTCTTGCCATCTTAGGATAGCACTGTGGGAGTTCCTCTGCCCTTTCGTTGATCTCAAGAGTATATGGATATTACTTCCTCCATAGGCGGCTGTCAGTCTGACTACTAAAGCCACTGGCCTGCAGACTCTCTCGTGGGCTGTCTCTTTTTTAGACTAGCCTTCCTCAACCTGGTGATGCCCAGATGTTGTTGGACTCAAGCTCCCATCAGCACCAGCCAACATGACCCACGGAGCTGTAGTCCAACATCATTTTGAGGGCACAAGGTGAGGGGAGAATGCTCTCGCCAGAGGAGCCACATGAACCCCCTCTCAGATAGTTTATGCCTTCCTCTGCTTCTTCTCTCCTAACAGAAAGAATCTATCTTGTCTTTCCCTCCTGGGAAAATTCTGCAAGCAATAGTGCCCATATATGAGGACCAAGTATAGTCTGGCTTTTGCTACTGTGGAAGGGAAGCAGAGGTGCTTCTGTTTTGAGGGAAATGTGGGCTCATTCATAGCTCCGTGGTAGAGTGCATGGTTTGGATGTAAAAAGTTCCAGGTCCAGTCCCAGGCATTCCAGGTAGGACTAGGAAAGACCAGGTCTGAAACCCTGGAGAGATGCTATCAGACATTTCAGAGAATACTGAACTAGATAGGGGTAAATGAGTTTTGGAAGCAAGAGGGGAAATGCTTTCCCACTGAATAATTAGGATTTTTGTCACCTTTACAGGGATGGGGATCACTACGATGCATTGAGAGACTGCTTAAAGGCTATCTCCCTAAATCCATGCCACTTGAAGGCTCACTTCCGCCTGGCTCGCTGTCTCTTTGAGCTGAAGTATGTGGCAGAAGCACTGGAGTGTCTGGATGACTTCAAAGGAAAATTCCCAGAGCAAGCACATAGCAGTGCTTGTGATGCACTGGACCGGGACATCAATGCAGCCCTTTTCTCAAAAAGTGATAATGGTGAGAACTGTTGTGCCAGCGTATTGCCATCCTGCCCTGAGCATTGGTGAAGGCTTAGATTCCTTTTCTTAAATTATCAAACCTCTGAGCTATACACGATTCAAGACTATTCAGCTGCAACTTGCATTAGCACTGCACTTTTCTTTTTATGCCTTTTTGTTTTTCTGAACAGCGCAGATATCAGTTGTATGGTGGTGGGTGTAATTTAGATCAGGGCCAGACTGAGAAGAGGGCCACATTCAGCCCCGGGCCTGAGGTTCCCCACCCCAGGATCCAATAATTTCTGAGGTCCCTTCCAGCTTTAAAATTCCTAGGTGGTTGTTGTTGTTTAGTCGTTTAGTCGTGTCCAACTCTTCCTAGGTAGAGGATGTTATTTATCGCTGTGAAGTAGGGTAGATTGAGAAGCAGCAAGGCTTTCTTGTGCTCTCCCAAGTGCTAGAAACAAGTAACACTGTGTTTGACTTTTTTTAGCGGAAGACAAGAAAGGGAGCGGCCCTATCTGGCTGCGAGCAACAGGCCGAAAAGATTCCATTTCGGATGATGAGATGGTGCTGAGGGAGCGCAGCTATGACTACAAGTTCAGATACTGCGGCCACTGCAACACCACCACAGACATCAAAGAGGCCAACTTTTTTGGCAGGTATGTCAACTTCTCTCAAGGTCAGGAGTGGAGTTTCTGCTGTTTATGTGTTGCCCTTCCATCTGTACTGCCTGCTGAATTAGGGATCGAGGAAAATTTTGTTTGGTCCACATTTTACAATGATCAAACCTAACTCTTGCTTCAATTCTTCTACTTACTCTCTCCAACAATCCCTGCCCCCCCCCTCCCAGCAATGCACAGTACATTGTCAGCGGCTCTGACGACGGCTCCTTCTTCATCTGGGAAAAAGAAACAACAAACCTGGTGCGGGTGTTGCAAGGCGATGAGTCCATTGTCAACTGCCTCCAGCCCCACCCGAGTTACTGCTTCCTGGCCACCAGTGGCATTGATCCAGTCGTACGGCTGTGGAATCCCAGACCAGAGGTATGATCAGACAAAGGATTAGACAAATGCATGGATCTGCCTTCTACAGGCAACCTCTAGCCCTGGTTGCTGAATGCTACTTGCATGTGCTGACCTTTAAAGCCCTAAAAGGCCTCAGCCCAGTATACCTGAAGGAGCATCTCCACCCCCATTGTTCAGCCCGGACACTGAGGTCCAGCACCAAGGGCCTTCTGGTGGTTCCCTCACTGTGAGAAGTGAGGTTACAGGGAACCAGGCAGAGGGCCTTCTCGGTAGTGGCGCCCGCCCTGTGGAATGCCCTCCCATCAGATGTCAAGGAAATTAACAACTATATGACTTTTAGAAGACATCTGAAGGCAGCCCTGTTTAGGGAAGTTTTTAATGTTTGATGTTTTATCGGTTTTTTTTTATATTCCGTTGGGAGCCACCCAGAGTGGCTGGGAGACCCGGCCAGATGGGTGGGGTATACGTAATAAATATGATGATGATGATGATGATGATGATGATGATGTTCAGAGCAATGTGCCTGCCGTGGGTTAAGCTTGGAAAACCAAAAGCAGCCTCACCCACTTTGGTTTGCCCAGCACGAGCAGCTAACGTTGCCTGTTGCCCTTCCTCTTGTTTTGCAGAGCGAGGCACTGAACGGGCGAGTGGTGGAAGACATGGAAGGCGCTTCCCAAGCCAACCAGAGGCGGATGAACGCTGACCCACTGGAGGTGATGCTGTTTAACATGGGCTACCGGATCACAGGACTGACTAGTGGTGGGACTGGAGGCTCAGATGATGAAGACAGCTCCGAGGGGCAAGTCCACTGCCGGACCAGCTAAAGCTGAACTGCCTCTCCTTCCCATGATTTGGGGTTTTTTTTGTTTTTGTTTCTTTGTTTGAAGGGAAATCTAGTTTGCTCAGTTTGAACTCTGATGAACGACTGCACTGTTTCACACTATGCACAGAGTAGGACACGTCAGCAGGGGCAAGAGTGGCTTTGTTAAACTGCTGCTACTATTTCTTCCCCCCTTTTGCCCCGTTCCACTATTGAGCAGCATGGTAACGCGGCCTGTTGAGTTTTGCCTCCCAGCAGAATCTAGTCTGTACAGGGGTTCCTTTTCCACGTTGTCTGTGAGCAGTGTAAAACTGGTAGCCATCCCCTCCTCCAGCGCTGCTGCATGGCCTGGGCGGCGGGAGGCATTGCCTACATGAATGCATTTTACAGAGAGGATGTTTAAAAACTCAATAAAATGTAAAACTAGGGCAGGGATTATGGAATTAAGTTTAATGCGGTGATCTGTGTCTCTGAAGCTTGGCTTGCCTGCTCTGCTGCTAGCTATTGGCCCATAGTTGTGGCCTCTCTGGTGTCTCTTTCAGCCCACAGGACAGCTGATGAGCCCAGCCTCTGCATCTAAAGCCATGGTCACAACCAAGTGGCTAGAGAGAACATGGGCAGCTTAATTCATGTGACTCTGGAGGTGCAAAATACATGACACCAGGCAGAGAAACTGACTTCCTGGTATTCAATACTTTATTTCTTCCATGTGCAGAGAGAGAAATGGCTGTAATAGAGAGAGGCCCTGACACGGGGCTCTGTGACTTATGTGACTTGAGCTAGTAAAAAGACCTGATGTTGCTGCTCTTTGGAAAACTCCTGATTCCCCCACCCCACCCCCGGCAACTTCTCCCAGAATGTTTTCTTTCTTGTGTGTCTATGGTTAGGCATGTGGCGTATGTGGGACATGCCTCATCACTGCTTGGGACTGAATGCTGAAAGTGAACTGATTCGCTGGCTCTCCACAAGGTTGTCCTTCCCCATTTCCTTGACATTTGTGTGACCTCCCACCTCTGCCATGCATAGAGGAATCTCCATGGGGTTTGTGAACCTTCTTAGTGGAGCCGCCTATCCTTTCTCAAACCTTGTTTCTGGTGGGCAGGAGTCTTTAAAGTGGCACAGGATGTTGACTCCTCTTTTTTGTTAAATGACTCCATTTTACCTGTTTGCTTCCAGCCATCAAATGGATACCACACAGTTGATGTAACGTGGCTTTTTTAAAAATATGATTGTGACCTAAGCCCAAGAGTCCCTGCGCAATACACGTAACATTTGTTCTCTCATTTATGTTAAATTCTAGCATTGTTCCTTGAGGTAAGAATGGAGGGTGGAGAGAGAAAGGTATGCATGACCAGGACAAATGCTACGTTAAGGTTGGCTTTTAGGAACACAGAATTCCTGTGTTTTGTGAAGGAAAGGACATGTTTGGGAAAGTGATCTCTGGACATGGCACACACCTTGACGTCTTTTGTGTCACATCTCTGGAGCAAGTGGTTGCAGAAATAATGGTGGCATAAAATCTGCTGTCAGTACAACTTCAGGGTGTGATGGTGTTGATAATGCGCCATTGTCTTGAACCAACTCAGACCTTCTCTTCCAGGTAACTCTTCTCTGGAATTTATGCTTGGAATTGGAAGCAAGGCAGGCAGCCATTTGTGGGTGGGTGTTGAGGAGAAATATGACTGTAACATTGCTGTCTCCATTAAACATCTTTGCTTTGCCTCCCCTTGAAAATGTGTGCCCTGAAATAAGACCTTCAATAGCATCCCATGGTCTTTCTGAGTAGAATGACATACCGTAGTCTTGCATCATGTTAGTGCAGCATTCTCCAACTTGGTTCTCTCTAGATCAGTTGGGGCACCAGGTGTTGTTGGACTACAACTCCCAACCCCCTGACAACTGGTCATGCTAGCTAGGAATGATGGGAGTTGTAGTCCAACAACATCTGGGGACCCAAGGTTGAGAAAAGCTGCTCAAGGTGATGTTGAACTCAAATACATAGCTGTCCCAGCAAGAATGGCCAGAGGCCAGAGATGGTGGTTGTTTTAGTCCAGCAATGTCTGGTGGGGCACCAGGTTTGAGAAATCCTGTTCCTTTCATGGTCCCCAATATGTTAACCAGAAAAAAACTATGTTGTCTTTTGGCTCAACCCTTGCCAAAGCCAAGATGTATGCATATTATACAGAAGCAAAGACCTTGGTTTCACATAATTTTTTGTCCCTAAGCAAATGGTGATTGTACACCCTTGCAGTCCGCATTACTCTTAGGAAACTTGGGCCAGACTATGCCAACTGTAGATTGCTCCCCTCCCCATTTACTCAAACCATATTCTGTTGTCTTGGCTGGACAGCCACTTCCAATCTATCACTTTTTTATATTCACTGCACGCCACACTCTCTTTAAAAATCAAGAGCATTGCTGTGTTTTCAAGGATCTTAAAAACAGAATACGGTATCTTCTCTGAGTTGTAGGTAAGAGTTTTCCCTTGCAGTTTTCTTATTTCGGGAACTTTCCAGTTGCTTAAAAGTACCCCCCCCCCAAAAAAACCACCCCTGAGTTAATTGACTAGTATTTAGGTCTCTAGGGAAGGAAATGTATTTTTTCTTCTGTCCCACCCACTTGTTTTTGCTGGCTTACCCTGCCGCCTTTTTCATTTCATTGGCAATGCACTTTCTCCAGTCTGTAGGACATAAGGTGCAAGCTTGGGTCTGCCTCCACTCTGCTCTAGAAGATATATATATATATATGAACATATATACAGGTATATGTACATGTATATGTGTATGTGTATAGAGAGAGACAGGCAGACAAGAGAGACAGAGCAGGGTGACCACTGCTTCAAAAACATTGCTGTCTAGGGATAGCCAACATAGTGTCTGCCCTCCAGATGCTGTAGACTACAACTCCCATTGCTCCTGACTATTGACCATGCCAGCTGAAGTTGTGGTCCAGAACATCTGAAGAGAACCATATTGTTTTACCCCGTTGTAGTCTTTTGGATTCTCCTTGGACCTTCAAGCATCCTGTTCATTGGATTCAATTGGCCACAGCGTTAGAACCATCAGCAGCCTCTTGTTTATTATAAATGGAGCAAAAGGAATAAAACCGCTTTGCGCATGGTTGACTATGGAAAAGCAGCATACAAATCAATGATGGTGATGTATTAGGTGTTCCATTTGATAAGGAGTCCAACGAGGAGACCCCGAAAGTAATTTGCCTTTCTCTGTTCTGGAGACGAAGCCACTTCAGTGTGTGGAGGGCAGGTCACAGGTGGGAGAGGTGCACAAGCCTTTGGTGGAATAACCCCAATACAGTCTGTAACTTCTCACTCATGTTCAGTTTCTTCGTCCTTGCAACAGTCAAAAGGCATGCCAGTTCAACTTCCTTTTCAAACCTTCACATCCAAAACTTGTGCAAAAAAAGTCATGCTGAGATTAGAAACTCTGTAGGAAATAGGTTCGGAATTCCTCTCTGCAGAGCTTCCATTGTGGCAGCTAATTTTATTTAATTTTATTTTGCTGCTGAGCACTGTGTTTTCCTTCCCTGCTATCCATGGCATGACAGCTGAAGTATCCCTTTCCTATGCCATGGATAGATTTTTAGTTAATTGCTGCTTAACTTAAAATAATATTCATGTTTTAATAGTGGGCTAATGGTTGCCCCATATTCTAGAGTACTTGATTCTGGGCTTGTAGACCATACTTGTGAATGAGGGGCATCTGTGTGGATGGAGAGAAGAAAACCGTGATGGAGGAAGAGGCGCTTTTAAATTTATCTTGTCCTCCTGCCTTAGTTTGTGTGCAGGAAGAGGATATACTCATATTGTTTTCCTCTTGGTTAACTCTGTCTAATAGAGAGATGCCCCAAGAAATACTATTTTTGTAATCAAGCACAGGGATCTCTTCTGGTGTATAAATATGATTAATGCATAGAAAAAGCTTCATTTTGGCTGCTGGGAAAACAGTTGCCATATAATTTTTCAGGAATCTGAAATGAAATTTTCCCCAAAGTATATGTCTTTGCAGAACAACTGCCTTAGTTTTTTTGGAAGGTGGGGAGATAATGGGGTGTTTCTGTTTCTCTGATCCCTGGAAGAGAAGGGGTTAAGCTATTAAAAGCATTTTTGTTCTAGTTTTCTTTTGGTGTCCTCCTTCTGTTCTTGAGACAGTTCTGACCTTGTGCCACTAGTCTGCTGCAAAGATTTGCATGGTTGGTGCGTATGCTAACGAACACCTGATCTTCCTGCTCGGAGGCAAGATTTTTACGCTCCCCAGTTGCATAACTTGCGAAGCAGCAGTTTTGCATAAAAACGCAGAATTCAATGGTGGCTACATTTCATATGCAGGGAGAGAGACTTTACCAACTTCTTAAATAAAAAATCAGCGGAAAAACCATTAGATAATCCTCCAAGAATCTCTGCATTTTTCCAGTGGGTCCATGAGGGGCAAAGTTTAGGAATTGCTGGTTTAGGAGAAACTCGAATGGTAGCTGTTTTGGCCCAGTATATGGTGGTCTGCTTTATGCCTCCTGTCAAGAGAGGTGGTAGCTGCCATATCTATACTTGGGGGAGACTATAGCAAATTCTTTGCAGGCACAAGGGCTTGAGTCCCATTTACTTAAAGCAGGTATGGGGAGTTTCAAGCTTTTGGGGGCCATATGTAGCTCTCCAGGCATTTATGAGATTCTCCAGAGGCCAAAAGCCCCTAACTAACTCTACTCTGTGCCGTCCTTGAGTGCATTTGCCTGGCTGGAATGTGCCCTTGAACTCTGACCATTCCTCTTACTTGCCTAGAGGGGGAAGGGTGTAGAAGTATAAAAGTCAGAGTCTTACCTGCTGCCCTGCCCACTTTTCCCTCTGAGTTCTCCCATGCAGTCTCTGGAAGGTTATCCACAAGGAAATGCAGCCATGTCCCTGATCCTAAAGGAAGAGGTACCAGGTACCATATTTTTCACTCTATAAGACGCACCAGACCACAAGACGCACCTAGTTTTTGGAAGAGGAAAACAAGAAAAAAAAATATTCTGAATCTCAGAAGCCAGAACAGTAAGAGCAATCGCTGCGCAGTGAAAGCAGCAATCCCTCTTGCTGTTCTGGCTTCTGGGATAGCTGCGCAGCCTGCATTCGCTCCATAAGACGCACACACATTTCCCCTTACTTTTGAGGAGGGAAAAAGTGAGTCTTATAGAGCAAAAAATACGGTAATTGAAAACACACCTGTCTGAAATCTTGGAACACTGCTACCAGTCAGAGTAAATTGCTGGTTTAGGAACAAATAATCTGACCTGGTAAAGGGTCACACCTTATAGTCCCATAAATCTGTGTGTGTGCATGGATGCATGGATATTTTCTCAGGGAATGTTTGTCACAGTCCTAGTAGAAAAACTCATGCCTTCTGTTTCCAGTATCCTAGAAAAATTACGTTTAAAAAATTACGCCCATCACAATTACGTTTCTATAGTGTGGGTAACTGGGCAATCAATAGTATTGGCAGGATCAGTAAGGGAATGATGCATCATCCTGTGTTTGTCAGCGTATCCCTGCAGTGCTCCTGGTTTTCTTGTAGAAATAGAAAGCTCAGAATAGCCTGATTCCAAAGACTTTGCAAAATGAAGACATCTGCTAAGAGGACAGTTTGTACCTAGACCAGTTGGCTACACGTGTGCACCCAAGGATGAAGACAAGGCTGGCTGGTATGCTGGCTTGCTTTCAGTAGAAAGATCCCTCTCTTAGGGATATCTGTAAGAAATCGTGCATACCGATCCTGAAAGGGTTGCTTTGCTAGGTACAAACTGTTCTCAAGAGAGCGCTCTATTTTGGGGAAGATCCTATTTTTTTATGCCTGGCGCTCTGACATTTGGCGCACGAGTTTGTAGACCTCCCTTCCCTTGAGGCTGCATTTACTAATCAAAACCAGTAAGCTATTAAGATTTGTGAAATATTTGCTATCTTTTTAACCTCTGCTACATCAGTGGGGTAAACATGAATGGAGCCAGGTGCAATCACATTACATATCTGTCTTCACTCCTGCATAATTGCATGGTTTTCATTATTAAATGTGAACCTGGTGAGCTGGTCATGAATGCATAATGTCTAAATGCCTTCCTGTACACCTTGCCTCTTTGAATGTTTATATGGCAATTCAGTAGGGGCTTGTCTCAGTTAACTGTGAAGCAGAGACAGTCTTGGCTTCCTACAGGGGCCCTGTCAATTTGAACATGCCTAAATTCACATATGGGATGTGGGTGGCACTGTGGTCTAAACCACTGAGCCTAGGACTTGTCGATCGGAAGGTTGGCGGTTCAAATCCCTGCAATGGGTGAGCTCCCGTTGCTCGGTCCCTGCTCCTGCCAACCTAGCAGTTCGAAAGCACATCAAAGTGCAAGTAGATAAATAGGTACCGCTCCAGCGGGAAGGTAAACTGTATTTCTGTGCGCTGCTCTGGTTTGCCAGAAGTGGCTTGGTCATGCTGGCCACATGACACGGAAGCTGTACGCCGGCTCCCTCGGCCAGTAAAGCAAGATGAGCACCACAACCCCAGAATCATCTGTGACTGGTCAGGGGTCCCTTTACCTTTAAATTCACATATGCTGTTGGGGATGACCCTAAGAATATATTTGGGGTGCTATTATGGGTAGCAAATTCACAGTTTTGATGTATTGCTGTCTGGGAGTTTTCTGCCACAGGCTTGGGCCACCTCTACAGAGATGTTTGTGGCCAAAATAGGAGGTTAACCCACCTCCCTCCAGATTCTACCCAGGCTTTATGGCCATAGGTACACATGGATGGCTTACAGTTGCAATCAAAATTACTTCAACCACCATTACTTCAACCACCATTGCAAATCAGGTTTATTGTCAAAATTTACAGACTTTCAGCTGTTTGCAATGAGCAAATCAAACCAAAGCTATTCACACAGCTCAATGCAACAGATGCTTCAAGTCGCTCCCCCAAATTCAGCTGAAATTGCAACTTATACTGGCTTCTCTGGGTGGAAATGGTGGGGCTCTGTCCTCTGGGGTCTCCTAGGTTCTGCACCCACCTGGTGAAATCCCCCCAATAGCCTTTGATTTCCACTTCAGCCATTGGGTAAGGTTGATTTGTCTCTTCCTTCCACCTCTTGTTCCTGGTGAAGATCTTCATTCACCTCTTCTTCCTTGGCAGGAGGACGTGCCATTTTGTGGTTTGCCTCAAGTACCAAAAAGTCTTAGGCCATCCCTGCTTAGGGCGCTGCATTTTAATGTGGCTTGAACAGAGAACTCTACAGGATCAGAACTATCTGCCTGCCAGTTTTAATGATACCAGAATTCACAATGGGGTGTGCTTGCCTTGGCTGACCTCATGGTGGAGCTGTTCGTTACTTTTTAATGGAGCTATATCGTTTAGGGAAATCACTTACAGACCGAAACTTCTCAGTGGAAACAGAAAACTGTAGGGTTGGGTATGGGTGTTTTTTGGACGGGGAGAGGGCAGGGCTTTAGCAGAAGCTCTTTTTAATATCCCTACCTAGAAAGCAAGTGGGAATTGCAACCCACTCCACTGGAGAGAATGAATTTTCATGGTAAGTCCAGCATTCTCTTTTTGCATCATATTGTTCAGAGCGATAACACACTGTTAGGCATGAAGAAAAATTCTACAGTGCAGCGACTTCAGTGGTATAAGATGTCACCCCCTGCAATACAGGAATCTCTTGCCTAACATAGGATGAAGGCTAAACGCAACTTAACCAATGTTCTTATTAACAGTAAACTGTCTAAATAGAAACAAGGATAGCCACCCTTTACTGCTTAATACCATTGTTTACTGCTACTATGCAGGGAATGGTTTGGTCAAAGATGACCCTGATAAAAGCACCTATATATGAGCAGAGAAGTGGGGTGCATGGCTGATGGACTTTGCAGAACTGGCGAAACTGATGGGAAGAATCTGGAACCAGCAAGACCAAGAATTCCAAAAGGACTGGAATAAATTTATATTATATTTGAAAGACAACTGTAAGCAATTAACATCATTAGCAGGGCAATCTGAAGATTTGTAAGATGAAATTGCTACCTATTCAAGTTGAGTAATATAATATTTTAGGCAATGATATAACAAGGATAGGAAACAAAGCGAATTGTAAAGATGTAAAATTTAATTTTGTAAACCATCAGACGAGAGGGAGGGAAGTCATTAGGCTCAGTTGAGCCAAAGAGATAAAATAAGAGGGTATGATGTTACGTAATGTAATAATATGCAAAACCAATAAAAATATTTTATAATAATAAAAGAAGAAATGGGGTGCGTATTTGACTAGGGGGAATTTCAAGAGGGCATTTGCACAAAGAGCCATAGCTAGGTGATCTTGTGCCCAGTCCAGATTACGCCCCCTAGCCACAGATAAATTAGCTCTTCTTTCTGCCTTTCCTCCAACACCTCCTTCACCCATTCAATTCCTCACACACTTCAGCTTGTAATGAATTCTTTCACAGAAAATCCAGTATTTAATTTATTATTTAATAAAAGGTTTCAGCAAATAAAATTACATTTTGATGTGAGTTGACAGTTTTAAAAAAATATAATTCAGTTGTATACATGCACAAAAGGTAAAGGACCCTTGACAGCTAAGTAAGTCCAGTCGCGAATGACTCTGGGGTTGTGGTGCTCATCTCGCCTTACTGGCTGAAGGAGCCGGCGTTTGTCCACAGACAGTCTTTCCGGGTCATGTGGCCATCATGACTAAGCCGCTTCTGGTGAAACCAGATCAGCGCATGGAAATGCCGTTTACCTTCCTGCCAGAGCGGTACCTATTTATCTACTTGCACTTTGACGTGCTTTCGAACTGCATCTTCCAACCCACCTTTGTGCAATGGTATGCATGTGTCCCACTCCTTACTAAAATGGAGACTTCATGTGTACACTGGTCCCCAGCCTCATTCCCTGAAGAACGGGGTTCTTTCCCCAGGTTCATCACAACTACTCACGAGGAATTGAGTGAGTTCCAGAATGTTCCCTCAAAAAGTTTCTTTCCAAAGTTTCCCTTTCCCCCCAGCATAGGGAAAAGACCACAAGGTTGGTAAAACTTTTTTTTGAAAGGTTTACTTACAAACTCTCCAAATGTCAGGTTCATGTGCTTCAGAAAAGGTTGCACAGG